TGACCATGTAAAGGGAAAGATAAAATTAACATTTGGTTGAGGTCTCCAAAACCCTACAAATCTGTCACTACAAAAGCAAATGTGCTTTGGCATTCCCCATGAACTAGCCTTATGTCTGATTTGAAATTGCTATTAATTAAAAGCTATAAAAAAAACCAAAACCAATTGAAAACCATCCCTTCCCCACCTCCTCTATCACAGATGGGCACAACAAAACCTGTCTGGTTTTACTCCATTTCCATAGTCAAGTCTGTGGCTCCCTCTAAGGGCTGAAATGAGTTTCTCAGCAGCACAATCTGCAGCTGGATCAGAATGATTGTTTCCCTAAAGCTGCTATTCCATTACAAAGCACCACATAAAACAAAAATGAGAGCATGTTTTTCCAGACCTTCCTTTTCAATAGAGCTCTAGCATCAGTAAATCAGACTGCAGCATATTTTGGAACGTGGGCAGGCTTTGCATGCTCATCGTCTTCTCTGTACTCATTCAAGATTGCTATTTCTGCAAGGCACTGTGTTAACTACAAATAAAATGAAAATTTAAAAAATGAGATATGTATAGAAAAATAAGAATTAAACAGATATATTAAAACCTCATCTAAATGGAATGAAATGCAGCAAGAGAGCTACAAACCAATCCATGAGAAAATAAATCTTATACTGTCAGTCTTACAGCTGCAAGTGAAACAATGCTAACTGGGGATTTTAATGATGCAGTGAAGATTTACAGTGGCAGGAGTCTTATCAGATAGCTGTGTTTTGCTTGGTTTTATTTTAATTCAAATCTGTTATTCCTCAGTCCCACAGAAATCAAACAATCACAATTATAGAGAGCACTGATGGTAGGGAAAGCAAAGGGATGGGCACTAACCCAGGGAAAGCAGTATTTGCAGTCCAGGGCTGCAGAGAGTAGAGCTTTCTGTCATTACTCCAGTCTCCCAAGGTTAGTTTTGTACTCTGCAACACTACCTGCCCTACAGAAGAAGTCCCATCAGTGATTATTTTTGCCTGGCACTGTGGATATCCTAGCCAGAAAGATTACTTTAGGGCTATCCCTTTGTGTTCTGTGCCACAGCTGTCACACACACAATTACACTGGAGCCTGTGATGCCTTCAAGGTTCAGCACAATTTATTAGAGATTTGGGGACCTGAGTGGAAAGGACAGCCCTTCGATTTTTCTTCAAGTTGATAAAAGGTATTCCAAATTCTGACCTGCATTACAAAGGGCTGAGATGTAGAACAATATATATTTGATGTTTATTGTTAGCAATACACTAACAATAGCGAGACACAAAGAGCTGGCAAGTTCCATCATAATTTTTCAAATGGAGAATAAAGGAGCCACTACTAAAATAATTCAGAGTGAAAGCCAGTAAAGTAAACCAAACAGAAAAAAAGTCAACTCATGACTGAGTTCATCTGAGAAAATATGGTAAAAAGGCTACAACCAATGCTCCCTAAGCCAGCCACTGAAGAAAGAGACTTTGCAGAGGAAGGGCAGAAGATGATGGCAGAACACCCCCATACACTGCAGCTAACTAGAACAGAGCTCTTCACCAACCTCTCACTGGGATTGTGCTGTCTAATTTAATTGGTGTATATCTTATTGACAAAACAGTAATCAAGTTCTTCAGGTTGAGCCCTCAGCTACAAATGGGGTTTACTTGGTTGACAGGCAGCAGGCTCTACTTGGGAAGCAATTACAGCTCACTAAGTGTCTGTAGGGATCTGACCTTATCAGATTAAAAGGCACACAGGTAACAGCCTCCAAGGACTTTGCTCAAAAAGATATGCAGAATGCACTGCCTCCTCTCCTGCTCTCCTGTGTGCACTTCCTTGCTCACATGAGGAAGCTGTAGTGCACTGTACAGGGCACAGCCTGTGCTCACACTGCAGGCCAGCTTTGTGCTGGCTAAGTACTAAATACATCAGTCCATCTGTTCTCAGCAGAAGTCTCCAATGGAGGCTAAAGGAGGCCATCCATGACCCTTCAAAGCAGAAGTAGTTCTTTTCAGCTCCAGAGTGATAGGATTTTCTTAAGGGTCTATACACCTTTTCTTCTTATTGATTTACCTCTATCTGATTTTTATAAAGATCTGTTAACCAAGGAGGAAAGCTGTGTAAAGGATATTGCTCTTCTTTCCCTGCCCTTCAGCACACACCTTTCCAGACTCAGCTGTCTGCATAGCAACAGCACACTTCAAGCAGGAATTCAGTATTCTCCTTCATATGAATTACTTGCTTCATGTATCCACAAAGCCCAAGGAGACCTTTGAATTCCATGACCTAATTGCTACATGAAATTATTCCAGCATTTGGTATGTTTTCAGTGAAGTTCATTACAATAAGTTACCCAAGAGATATCATGCTCTACATTATGCTAGTTTCTTCTCTCAGATATATATTAACTTATGAAAATGCTCAGTAAATTCACTTTTTTCCATCTCACCATAAGTGCATCAGAACATATCACATAAGAGCTAATTTTCTTTAATATACTCCCTGGTACCATTCAGCTGCATTATACATAATGCAGCAGTCATAGCATATCAACTTCACATCATATCAGACACTGCATTATGGCAGCTGAATTGATTACTTGTGTAATTGAAGGGCACCAACAGGAAAATTTTTAATCATTTAAGTGACTCATCAGCTTTATATACAAAATGTCTTGCTTTAGTGGCATCATGCAAGTGACATACTTTCAGACCGTAGCATTTTAAGCCACTTCTTATTCTTGTCATCTTTGTTTCCAATACAAGCATACAGATTTACAAAAGGCAGAGCATAAACTTGAATGTTGACTATAATGGATTTCTTTTGTCTATCAGACTCCTGTTTGCAAGACCTAATAAAACTCCAGCTAGACAAAAGTAGCTTTCTTCCTGATGGGAGTTTTTGTGGGTCTGTTTTTTGTTCTGTTGTTCTTTTTTTAAATTTTAATATTTCACTCACTGTAAGAAGCCAGCCTTTTGTTTTCAAGGGTCAGACGGATAAATCCACAAATATTTTATATTTTTCTATTATATTGTTCTTTTATTTTCAGCTTCACTTGCTGCCCACCTCCTCAGATAGAAAAACCTCTGCTACAAAAAAGTGCCTAACTTGCTGCTGCAGATTGCATTCAGCACTTTCCATGTCTTGACACTGAGGTGCTGTTCAAAAGTTTAAAAAGCAGTACCTAAAGGATTTTGAAAATCCTTCCCTTTTACTTGAAGTCTTATTAAGACCTTCAACATTGCTGTCACATACCACAGAACAAAGAGTAGCTCAGAACATTCCTGAAACTTACTTCATTAAAAAAAAAAAAAAAAAAAAAAAAAAAAAAAAAAAAAAAAAAAAAAAAAAAAAAAAAAAAAAAAAAAAAAAAAAAAACTCTAATCATCTTCAGAGTTTCAAACTACAAAACCTGGATTAAGCCTACTGGCTCATTTTCACAATACAAGCCTACAGATCTTTGGCATTCATGTCTGTGCTCCATTCACCTGACAGAAAATACCATTTTCAAAACTATTTGCAAAATTATGACAAATCCAAGTTTCACAACAGGAATGTGTCCCTATCAATCCCTTATGTCAGACTTATGAAGTAAGAGCAACTCTACTTCATTCTCTCTGGCCTTGTCATATCCTCAGTCACAAGAGTCACCCTCCTCATTCTTTTCCAACAGTACCATGCACTGCATTTCTCCAGGTTTTATCCTCTCCCAAGTTTCTTCTTTTTATATTTCTACTGTTGTTTCCTGCACTAAGTCTCTGCCCACTGTCAGCAGCTCCTGCCTGAGAAGGGTGACCAGCTCAAGCAATTTTATCCCTGCTCCTCTCACTCCAACAGAGGACTGCAGCATTTTCATGGCATTCTATCTTTCCCCTCTCCCAACAGGAAGATGAGCCCCTCTACAATCCTCATAACCCAAACATGCAGAGGAAATGAACTCCATTATATTAAATATATTCTACAGTATGACCACAAAATGACTAAATACTCAGAGCTGATTGAGGAACTTCTTCCCACAGAAACTCTTGCTTTGCTGTGACTGCCACTGTACCATACAAGCGAGTTCATGCAAAGAGACATTACATGAATTGGGTAAATACTCTAGCCACTCCTGAGTAACAATGGATTCAAGCAGGTTATGGCTACTGCTCCAGATCTTTCTATCCTTTTAGTAAGTCATCTTAAGCCACCTCCATGCCTTCAGTTTAAAAAAAAAGTATTATTTCTAATAGCCAAACAAGCATCATGTTAATGTGTTCATCTTAGAATTCTAGAAGTACCTCATTATTTCACCATGGTGCAATGAGTGAGCTGCCCGGGGGCAGGTGATGTACCACTACCACTGTTTTGGGTGTTTTTCTACTCTCTCACTGCTACCCATATGGATCATAAGTGGGGATCTCTTCCATTCCCTACAAAGCATTGGAAGACAGAACCTGCTGACAGCCCTCAGAAATCTGCAGTGGGGTTCAGATTCAGCCAAAGTGCGCTCCAGTCTCAGGCCTGCAGTGGTTCGAGCTTCCAGCTGAAAGCCACTCACAAGTGGCTGCTGCTGCCCATGGGCCCATTTCCACCACAGCTGGAATACCCTTGCAGTTTGTCAGCACTGATTCAGCTCCTGAATTTTCAGGGTTCTGATGTCTCTTACCAAGCTTTACTCACCGCACGCCACACCGGCAGCCGCCTTCCCGAGAGGCTCTGCCTTCTCTTCCGCAGAGCCCTGGCCCGGCTGCACAACCCCAGAGCTCCGAGCTCTGCTCCTCTCACACCTCCACAGTCTGCAGAAGCCTCGAGCCCTGTTCTGCTCCAAACCCTTCACCCTCAGCCCTGTCCCAGCCCTCTCCTCACAGGCCAAAGGCCAGGCTGGCACACCATGCCATGGCCGCTGGCTGCCCAGCTCTCCGTGCTGTCACAAACCTTCCAGGGAAGCTGGGCTGCTGCTGCCCTGAGGCTGCTGCTACCTCCCTGCTACCCCTGCAGGCAGAGATCATTTATTCCTCATGAGAACAAGTGAGTCAGCTTCTGAAAGGAAAGGTGAGGCTCAGGGGATTCATCTCACCATCACCATAAACTGCACTGTGGCTCCGAGTGCGAACAATGGAGGAGGAAGATCTGGTCCCTCTGATTTGACTGGTAAAATGTGATTTATTTAGTAGAGGTGGGAGTTTTTACATTAATACTCTCAGGAGCTTCAACTTACTCATCCAGTAGGTTACATCTTATGGATACAAGCAGTTCCTTTGATTAAATTATACTGATAATCATCAGTCTCTCAGTGAGATGAGTCATACATTGACATGAAACAAGTTAGTAAGAACTTTTTAATTTTCACTACTGGTACCACAAACAGTTCTTTGTAAACTAAATTAACCATCAGTTCCGAGCCCTAGAGTGCTCCAGTGAACCACATGAAGCCACTCCATTTTCTCCTATGAAATTCAGAAAGGTCATGAATCTGTTACATTCAGCCTCAAGAACAAATGCTACAGGGATAACTGGGTGAAGGTATAATGGCTTGTGATGATCAAAATGATCCAATAGTCCCTGCTGGCTTATTTACTATGAATCTATAAACTCACCCAAGAGTGAAACAGACTGCTCCTAAGCGGAGCTGTCATCAAGCAGATTAAAGAATTCAGCACTTAAAAAGTATAAATGCCAGAATGCACTGGAGCGATGTTGGACTTGTACTGAAAATTTTATGTTTAGTATTTAATTTATTCAGTTAAAGTAACAATCCTTATAAGCATAATTATTATTTAAAAAAAAAAAAAAAAACAAGAAAGTTTTATATCCCTCTCTAAATTTCATTGGAATTGACGCAGATTTGTCACCAGCAGAGACCCTACTTTGTCGGCCCAGCTGTTAAAGAAAATATAGACTGAAGCCAGCATTTAACTTTAGGCTATATAGTCAGCTTTAGTAAAATCAATGGGATTACTTAGACTGTGCAATATTAAAGAGCTTTGTAGGTCACTGAAGAAATGGGATCAGACGTTGCATTTTCCCTGAAAAAGCACAGTAACTACCCAGGACTATTATGTGATATGTGTGGGAGTAGGATAATACAGGCCAAATTCTTATCCCAGAAATAACCTTTTGAAAGCCACAGGGAAGCTCACAAAACCAAGCAAACAGCTGAAGGCCAAAAAGCTACAAAGGCCCTCTAGAACAGGAGGATGGTTTAGAGAAAAGATGCACATGTGCAGGTCCTTTTGGGCCAAGGAAAAGTAGGTAGAGCTCTGTAACAACCTTGAGGATTCTCTAGGCAAGAGTTTGAACTGCCCCAACTCCACTCCAGGCCCTTCCCACACACTCCAAGGCTATGCAAAGAGTTTAACTCAGCTAAACACAAAACCGGTTCTGATGATTGCATTTTACTGCATTTTCTCCCTTTCCAATTAGCCTATCTTCCTAGAGTCCTACATAAATACTCAGAGACTGTATTCCTTTAGTTGTTATTGTTCCATTACAAAAATACTGCATGAAAACTTATTTTCTGAAAATAAAATCCATTGTAGAGCAAGATGATCAATATTTACATTCTTTAGTAGGGATACTGCAGACATTCAATATGTAGAACAGGGACTAAATTCATAGACAAAAAAACAAGCTGCAGGAAGATGCAGATGGTTGATACAGGAAGTCAGTTTAAGGTCACAGCTCAATTTAAGGTGAGAGATGAATTTAAAGAAAAAGAAGAAGAAAGGAAAACTGTTACAAACTAAAAATAAAATAAACAGACTATATAGTTTCAATAAAGCAAGAGACCATATAGTAACCACTAGTATGTCATTGTAATCTAGATCTTCAACCAGAAACTATGCTGGACAGGTAGAAATTCTGAAATTGCAACCAAGTCTAGATTTCCATGATGTTTGCCTCCCAGAAATTCATTAGCTTCCAGACTTACTATGATCCATTTTACATTGTGAACAAATTCCCTTTTTTTTAATTCAGTAGCAGGTTGAACACAAACTTCTTTCTCTGCTACTAGTATATCACTGTATCTTGCAGCTCCTATATATCAACAAAATAGTTTGTACCATATGTACCAGATGTGATCTCCTAGTGAGCAAAGGTATTTTGTGATTTTTTTCTAAATATTCAATAAACAAAATAATATATAAGGATATGGTTCTGTTTGTACACATTCCTTTATCACACAAGGATTATAAAAAATCATATCTGCAACTCCACTTCAAAGAACAATCCTAATTTCATAACTTTTAATGTCTAATTATATATTGTCATCACCAAAGTGGAAAGAGATGAAGAAAATCCACAACAATTTCAGAAGCACACACTTCTGAGCATCAGAAATACTTGCACATATACTTCCCTTGTCATTTTTCTTTTTAAGTTCATGTCTATCAAAAACAAGTCTTTTTTGTGGATTTTACAGGCTCTTTTATGCCCTATAAAATCAGGTAGTTTCAATCACTTCTCGTTTTCTTAAAAAAAAATAAAAGGAAGCAATTTTTTTTACCTTCCAAGTAATTTTATAATACCATGAGCAAAATGCACATACCCTTTTCTCTGAACAAAGAAGGTGCTGGACTGCTTTACTACTCTTCAGAACAGGGAATTCTCCACTCAAATGTTGGAGAAGAGTATTTAATTTCAGAAATCCATCACAAGGAACAAGCATGGTTGGGTTTTTCTGTATCTTCTAGAGTCTCTCCAAAGGTCAGCTGGAACGATATTCCAATATCCCTAAGTGAAGGATTTTTTAGGTCTGGTCATTTTTTATACAGCTGAGCTGTAGGACCTACCTGCTTCTTTCTCTTGATATTACAATTTTCAGTGCCTCCGGAGACAGAGAGCTGGAAATAGAGCAACTCAAGTCAGAATTCATTCACTGGGCTTTGAATGTGTCTCTTGAGCCTCAGCATGTGCAACTAAAGGAGAACCAGCCTAAAAAAACCTCTAGCTATTAATGAAAACTATTGGAAGCAAACCTTCAAATACTCAGAGGGCCTTAGAAAGAATTGACACCAAAAATTAATCTCAGCAGTGAAGTTCCTCTGATCTCCATTTTAAACTGAAAAAAAGCAGCAGGATTTATATAACAATAGGTAATTAAAAAGTGGCATAGAAGATAGTGAATATTTCACTAATGTTAGTTCTTACAGTGCTGTTTGAATTTTGCAGCCAAATACATGAGTTCCCTGAGCCTGACAGAGATAAAGCACAAATAACTGAATCTAATACCTGTTTCTAAGCCTTTCCCCGAGCAATAAATGTACTAATTGCAGAAAGCAGGATCTAGCTTTCCTTTTGTACTCTACATGTTGTCACACATGGATGGAAATAATTAACATTTATCAGAAGGGTTTGGCTCAAAAAAGTTAAGTGAAAATCTATTTTGGAGACATATCAATAATGATTTCATTAAGAAAGGCTGGTCGGGGCTAGGTCTAGCTATGCCAGTGAGACATTCTTATTGCTCTGGCCCTAATACTAAAATCCTGGATGTACCTGAATGAACTCCCATCTAAACCCACACTCAGCAGACAGTCAACAGAATAGAGATGTGTGCATTGTAGCCCATTCCAAACCAGCTTTATGAGCCTAGCTGGGCATCTCTGCAGCCCTCTAACTGAAATACCAAAGTTTCAATTCCAGATATGACACCCCAGGACAGCTCTGGTTCTAGAAGCATGAAAATGAAGCTGAAATCTCGCAATGTAGAAGAAAATGAAATGTCAAAACATCAAAAAACTTTTCTGAAACCAAGCTTCTGTTGTGTAGCCAGCCTCTATTGTGACACATGCTATGAAGCAAATTATCTTTTTACTGAACCAGATGGGAAGAACGAAAAATCTATAGCTAATTTAAAATCTGCCTGCTACACACAATATCTAAAATATTTTCCAAATGCATAGTGACAGAACAGTTCTCCTAAACAAGGGATTTGCTCATTTACCCTCCACATCATCATTGATACTCCCTTAACTGTTGCTTTAGTCTCTAAAAAAGTTCATTAATTATCTTTCAGAAAGTTTCTTATCAAGGTCCTGAGGAAGAAAAAAGGGATTTGAAACTAAGTTACATGAAAGGACATGACATCTCCACCTCAACACAACTAGGGAACCTATAGAAAAGTTATCTTTTTTTTTTCCCTTTCTTTTTTCACATAAATAAACTCTTAGAGTTAACCTCTGACATGTTAGGATTTTTATTATGTTAAACATTACAGCCAGAGAAACAAGGTATGGATAACTGGCCTGTACTGATGATAACAAAGGATTCCCAGGTAAAATGGTTTGTAATTATACTGTCCCTTGATCACACAGATCCCCCCCAGCTCCTGCCCCCAGAGCAGAGCTCAGGAATACACACCGAGATTGCTTAGGCTTTACTGCCTTAATGCAATTCAGAGATTTCCAATTCACCACGAGGACTCACTACCTAATTACTGAGACCTCAGTGCTCCAGGGAGAAAGGGAAGTATTAGCCCTGCTTTAACCCCTTTAACAAAAACCTGCAAAGACAAAAATCCTCACCCACAGCTGTTCAGACACAGCTGCATCTGTGCAGGTCTGTGCCATGGCCTCTCAAGCAGCCTGAGGATTCCCATGGGCAGCAGCATCTGCACAAACCCACCAAACTGCCACAAACACACAGCAGCAGCAGCTGAGGTGTGTGCTGATCCACTAGGACTGAAGAGCAAGACTGGCAAAGCAGAAGTGAAACTCAAGAGTGTGAGCGACCTCCTGGACTGAGCTCACAGAAACCATTTGTTCCAACTCGTTAAAATGTTGCAGAAATAAAGGATATTAAACCCAAATTCAATGCCCACAGAACTCTTACTCCTCAGCATGGAGTGATTTGGTTATCCTCCTGAGACTAATGGTGCCTCATGCCTTGGGGCTAACCTGACCTTCCATGACACTGTTCCAGCACCAAACAAGATTAGGAACAGTGTTTTGAAAACTCTGAGAAACATTACCATGTGAGACTCATAAATAAGTGACTCACACAAAATAGAAACCAGAGCATTGCAGCCTTACCGACAACTTCAATCCTCACATGCAAGCTTCTAGACTAAAGCTAAATTCTGCCAGCATCACTAACTAACACATCTATGCCTGTTAGTCATTTCTTTGCTTTCCAGAAGCATCTCTTAG